AGTTGAAATTTCCCTGGTTTTTCATATGCTAAATAATTTCAGATTATATCCTGAATATTTTAATTTTGTTTATTTATTTATTTTGAGAGAGAGAGAGAGAGAGAGAGAGAGAGAGAGAGTGAGAGTGAGAAAATAAGAGAGACAGAGAGCAAGAGAGAGAATTCCAAGTAGGGTTCTCAAGGTCAGCACGGAGCCTGATGTGGGGCTTACCCTCACGGACCATGAGATCATGACCTGAGCTGAGATCAAGAGTCAGATGCTTAACTGACTGAGCCACCCAGGCAGCCCCTGAATATTTTAATATTATGTTATGAGACTCTGAGTTTTGTTCAGTACTATAGAGAATGTCTTTTTCTTTCTTTCTTTCTTTTTTTTTCAAGCAGGCAAATGCCTCAATTGGATTTAGACTGCAAATTTTGACTAGCCTTTTATAGGCAGTCTGTGACTTGGGTGGTGGTTTATTCTTAGAAGTACTCAGTGCCAGTATGGTTGTACTTCAAACGCTGGTCTTCTTTCTCAGTTTGCCTGCTGCTATTTAATTTTCTGAGTCCTCAAATACTACATGCATTCTGTCCAGATTCGATAGCATTCAATGGGAGAGAGAGAGGGGAGTGTGCTTATTGCCTCTTACCCAGAATTAGAATCTCATATCTTTAACTTTTGAAAGATTTTTACTTGTTGCTTAAATATTTCCTATAACGGTGTCTGCTTCCATTCTCTCTAGTCTCTTATTCCATATCTTTTAAGTAGTTTGTGTTGGATCTTCTAACTCTAATATTCATAGATTTTTTTGTGTGTTTCATCTTATTCTTGGTGCATTCTCAGTTCTCAATTTTTGTTCTCCATTTTTTTGTTCACTAATTTTCAGGTCTATTTTATCTGCTGCTTTTTTTATAGCCATTTTTTTAAAGTTTATTTATTAAATTTTGAGAGGGAGAGAAAGAAAGTGGGGGAGGGGCAGAGAAAGGGGGAGAAAGAGAATCCCAAGCAGGCTCTGCACTGTCAGCCTGGAGCCCAATGCAGGCCTCAACTCACAAACCACGAGATCACAACCTGAGCCAAAACCAAGAGTCAGGTGCTGAACTGACTAAGCCACCCAGGCGCCCCTAGCCAATGTTTTTTAAATATTGTTTTTAAAGATACCTGTATTTCCAGAAGTTCTATTTGATTTCCTTTGAAATCTGCCTAATCGTGGGGCGCCTGGGTGGCGCAGTCGGTTAAGCGTCCGACTTCAGCCAGGTCACGATCTCGCGGTCTGTGAGTTCGAGCCCTGCATCAGGCTCTGGGCTGATGGCTCAGAGCCTGGAGCCTGCTTCCGATTCTGTGTCTCCCTCTCTCTCTGCCCCTCCCCCGTTGATGCTCTGTCTCTCTCTGTCCCAAAAATAAATAAAAAACGTTGAAAAAAAATTAAAAAAAAAAAAAAGAAATCTGCCTAATCTTTTCTCATACAATTCTTTTTTTAAATTTTTTTTTTTTCAACATTTATTTATTTTTTGGGGACAGAGAGAGACAGAGCATGAACGGGGGAGGGGCAGAGAGAGAGGGAGACACAGAATCGGAATCAGGCTCCAGGCTCCGAGCCATCAGCCCAGAGCCCGACGCGGGGCTCGAACTCACGGACCGCGAGATCGTGACCTGGCTGAAGTCGGACGCTTAACCGACTGCGCCACCCAGGCGCCCCAACAATTCTATTCTTTCATTATTTTTTTGTATTCCTTCACAAAAAAATTGGATCATTTAACATACTTATTTTATACTTTCACATTTTTATGATATTCTGAGTTCATGAGATACTAATGGTCTTTTTCTGTGTGGTGTCTCCTGACTGTCTTTCATGGTACTTTATTCCAGTGTTGTTGTCGTCGTCGTTGTTGTTGTTGTTATTATTATCAATATTATTATATTGTGATCTTATCCTCATCAGAAATTTTCCTCACATGCTAGAGGTGCTGGAAGGTCCCTTAATAGAAGTTTTACATTTTCTTCTTCAGGACACTCTGTGGGTCTTATTCTAATTTCTGTCTGTAGAATTCCTACACCAGTAGGGAGTGTAATTTTATACTGTGTGTCTGCAAGTGGCAAGGCTTGAGATTTGACATTTATTATAGATGACTTTATTTTCCACCTGTGGTCATGTGCAGCTGGAAGGCACTTTTGTCACATCTTAGACAAATGTACAAAATTTTTTAAAGTTTCTTTTTATATACAGTATAATCCTTCAAAGCTTCCTATTTTTATCAGAGGGACCACTAACACCTTCACCTCTTCTGGCTTTGGCCATAATTCATTGTTTCCAGTTCTTGTGTGGATATTAAAATCCTACCCCATTGTCTTAGGGCCCCCATTGAGTCTGAAGCCCTATGTCCTGCCCTCGCCCAATCGTTGAATTGGCTACTTTGTTCTCTGCCAATCTCCAGCTACTTTTTTCCTCATAGCATCTGAGAAATTTCTTTCTTCTTTTTTTTTTAAACTTTTTTTTAATGTTTTATTTATTTTTGAGACAGAGAGAGACAGAGAATGAGCAGGGGACGGTGCAGAGGGAGAGGGAGACAGAGAATCCAAAGCAGGCTCCAGGCTCTGAGCTGTCAGCACAGAACCCAATGCAGGGCTCGAACTCACAAACCGTGAGATCATGACCTGAGCCGAAGTTGGATGCCCAACTGACAGAGGCACCCAGGAGCCCCTCTTTCTTCTTATGAATAAAAAAATATTAAACATTTTGTTTAGGTTTGTATATGGTAGAAGGGAATCCTTTCAGGGTCAGTAGAATCTATTATTTCAATTGAACTTTTCATTATGTGGTGAGTATTTACCTTAGTTTTCTGTGAATGCTGAAACAAATTGCCACAAAGTTAGTGGATTAAAACTGCAAAAATTTATTATAGTTCTATAGCTCAAAAGCTTCAAATGAATCTCACTGGACTAAAATCAAGGTATTGGCAGGGTTCTGTTCTGCTCCAAGGATGTAGGGGGAATCCTTTTTCTCATATTTTCCAGCTTCTTGAGGCTGTGCACTGACATACCTAGGCTCACGGTCCTTCTGTAGTCTTCCATCTGCATAGACAGCAACAGCAAAACAAATTCTTCTCATTTTAGGCCACTCTGAACTCTTCTGCCATTCTCTTGCACATGTAAAGACTTTTGTGATTTTATTGGTCACATCCAAACAATCCAGGATAATCTATTTTAAAGTCACCTGAATAGAAATCGTAATTCCATCCTCAACCTTAAATCCCTTTACTAGGTGAGGTAACATTCACGAGTTCTAGTGATTAGGACATGTATTTTTGGAGGGTGGGGAAGGCCATTATTATGCCTCCCATAGTGACTTCAAGCAAACGTTTTGACATTATCTGAAGGAAGTTTCAGTGTATGCTGATTTAATACATAAGGCAACGATAACATAAAGGAAGATAAAAGGACCAATATCCTGGTAAAGTTTCCACATTCCAATGGAAGTGGTAGCATAGAGACTACCTCATACTTCATCTACCATAGAGGATATGGTGAAAAGTTAAGTATGTGTGTTGTATTCCCTAGAGCATCAATTTAAGAAGCTACACAAAAAGGTATAATTACAGGACATATAGATAAAATGAAATTTTAAAAATACTGGCATTAAGTGGATAGAGACCAGGGATGCTATTAATCATCCTACAAGGCACAGGACAGTCCTAACAAAGAAGTGTCCAACCTTAAAATGTCCATAGCTCTAAAGTTGAGAACCCCTACCCAGGCTGATAACCCTGCCGTACCTAATACAATGACTTACCTTTCTTACAGGTTTCCAAAGCTTTATACTTTAGTTTTATAGAAATAGCTCACTCTTCTCTGTCTCTCTCTGTAGTCATATTTTAATGGCTTCCATTACTTTAATTAGGTCACATAATTATAGTAGCAGTTTCAACTGCAATAATTTTGGATACGAAATACCACTCTTCTGGAGAGAGCATAAGTGGGGGGGGGGGCTAGAGATAAGCTTACTGACCATCAGCTTTCAGCATATAAGAGGTGAGCATCAGAGAGATTGGAGAGTATTCCTGATTCTGTGATTTGGTTGAGAACATATAGGTTGGGAGAACTTCTACGTGTAAATATGTATGTATATGTATATTTACTTTTCCTTCTTATTAGAATATTAAATAATTCCATTATCTGAAATTTATGTAACATTTATAGATACTTATTACAATCCAATATTTCTGATGTACTCCTATAGAAAAATCTTTATTTTCCTGATGAATAATTTCCTTTGAATTAAACAATTCAACTAGATTATGTTTTTTTTTTCAAATTTAGGAAATTTCATACAATACTTCCTGTAAGTACTGGAATATTTCTTTCTTAAAGTTTAAAAAATTTCAAATAGATTCAAGTGGAAAATTTGATAGAGAAAATTAAAAATTAAACTGAAAAAATGTCCAGATTCTGTTTTTTTCCTTAAAAATTCCAAGAATAGAGCTAAAACATCCCCCTCATCCCATTATAGTATAATATAGTACATATTTCTCTACTGGAGACTCAGACTGTACCCTATAGTTATTTTGGTAACTAGCTGTGCAGCATCCTGTTAGAGAATTCAGAATCTATTTGGATGGAAGGTTAAGAAACTCAATCTTTGGAGCAATTAACATTTTAATCACTTTTGAAATTCTTTTCAATATGGGCATTGAATTTTGTTATTTGAGATTTACCTCAGAATTTTAGGGCTGTGTTGAAAAATATGTGCAATTGACCTTGAATATACTTTTGTGCGTTGAGAATTAGACCTCAAATGACCTCGCTGTTATGGTCCTAGCGTGTAAGTGGGAAGGGTGTGTAGAGCCTGCTTGAGTGCTTGAGTGTGGTCAACAATGGGAGCAGGGCGCTCTTCTTTCTTGCCCAGGCTCTGCCTTCCGCTTATTTCTCTCTTCTCTCTCTGCTCTGTTTCTCTTATGCATGCATGGATCCATCCATCCATCCATCCGTCTGTCCATCCATCCATCCATTTATCCACCTACCTATCATTTCTTCTTTTCAGCGTGGACAGGCACACTCGCTCTGCTGCCCTTGTCTCCTGCTGTGTGCTGGTCCTGGAGAACCAAGAGTCCGGTTCTCGGCGCTGTTTGGCAGGGGGCGCTCTAGGTCCCGGAGCTGTCCAGCAGTTCCAGGATAAGTTCTCCCCGACGCCTTCCGTGTCTGGGAAGCTCTCCAGCGCCCCGCCCCGGGCAGGGAATCTCTCCGTTAGGGCTCGCAGGGATTTCCAGGCTCGCCTCCCGCCTCCCCCTGTCTCTCTCTACTTCGTCCGGCCCCACCAGGAGAGTCTAGTTGGCTTTGGCAGCCCTCCGCCGCAAGCCCCAGAGAGGGAGTTCCTTTTCCAGTCCCCGGGGCTGTTTCGGAGCCCAGTACACAATACGCGGGCTTCCCTCCTTTGCCTAAAGGGCGGGCGAGCGCGTCTCTTAGCCTTGCCTTCTGCGACTGGGTGGTCCTTTCTCTCCCGTCTGTCTTTCAAGACACGCGTCCCAAATCAAGGGGTGAGAGCAAAGACCGCCCATCAACTTAGCACCTTGAATTTAGATCTTTCGATCCCGAAAGGAGGTTGGCTTCCCCGGGGCCAGCGAGTGAGGGCGGGGGGTGGGTGGGGGGGATAGGAGGGCGGGGCTGCAGCAGCTCCGGGGCTCGCTAGACGGGGCTTGGAGACCAAGGAGCCCCGTGCTGGAGAGGGACGCGGAGCGCCTGGCCTCGCCCTCGGCGGTCCCTCCCCACTCCTGGTCTCCCCGCCTCCCCGGGCCTGCCCCTCCCGCTCCGGGGGAGCCGTCTCTCCTCCGCGCGTCTCCGGCGCTCTCTCCATTGTCTCTGCTTTTACAACAGGTTCGCGCGGTGGGGAAGACGGGCGGGTGCCGGGCAGCCTCACCCCCGGCTTTCTTGGGGCCGCCTCCCTTCCTCTGGGGGTGTCGTGACTTCGGCTGCTTTTATTCAGCTCCGGAGCTAATTCCCCGGCGCAGCAGCCCCCGGGCGAGCCCGACCCCTCCCTCTGGGCCCCCGGCTCTGCCGGCGCTGCCGCCTCGGCTCTGCGTGTGGGAATGATGTGCGCATTGGAGGGTCCAAGTTCTTCACGTGCCTGGGGTGTCCTCCCATTTTTTTCTTAGGGAACCAATTCATATTAATCCTACTAATCAGTAAATGCGAGGCAGCGGCAGGAGACACAAACGCTATTTTCCCGCTTGATTCCGAGAACCTCTTCGATTTTTATTTTTATTTTTATTTTTAAAGAGGGAGACGATGGACTGAGCAGATCAACACCATGGAGTCTCGGGTCTTACTGAGAACATTCTGTTTGATCTTCGGTCTCGGAGCAGGTGAGTGGCCCAGAGATGGGGCGGGGGATGGGATGGCCCCCGCCTGGGGGCAGCCGGAGCTGGTTGGGGACGCCTTGCTTTTCCTCAATCCGAAGTAGGTCTGGAGTGGGAAGCTTGGAGTAGGGGGTGGGTTTGCATTTGGATTTTTCTGTGCTTGCCTTGGAGACGCTAGGGCGGGTCACACCCCTAGTCCGGGGTCTGAGGGCCGAGGGGGAACTTGGCACCGAGAGGGGTTTAAAGTAGGTCAGGGAAATGGGACTGGGTGCTCCGCTATTTAAAGCTTGGCTGCTGATCTCAGGTAAGGCTTCGCACGGCGGAGGAGGGAGTCGCCTCCCTCATCAGTTCCCAATTATTATCTCTTAGACTCGGTTCTTTGCTGCCCTGGAGGAAGAGGCTTGCATTTTGATGGAGGTTTTTCTTTCTCCCCCACCCTCCCACCAGTTTGGGGGCTTGGTGTGGACCCCTCTCTACAGATTGACGTCTTAACAGAGTTAGAACTTGGGGAGTCCACGACTGGAGTGCGCCAGGTCCCCGGGCTGCATAATGGGACGAAAGCCTTTCTCTTTCAAGGTATGGAGTGCGCGCCGAGTCCCCAGTGCGGTTTCAGTTCCGATAACCCAGGAGGGAGTTGTCCTCGCAGCTCCTCCTAACTTCTGTATTGCCTCATGGATGATGACAGTAATCTGGACCTGAGATATGGAGGGGTTAACGTGACAGACACACACCTTCCATATCTTTTTAAGTGGTTTGGTTTTTCTCCCCTCCCGCCCCCACCTCCTTACTTTGTACTCTTGCCAGTTCTAATGGATAGTTCCTTAATTACTGTACAGAAACTCCGCTGGCAGATGGTTGATTTTAGAGTCTGGGGAACAATGAATTATAGCACAAACGCCTCATTTGGGTGAAATTGATTTAGGTAGAAAATAGGATAGCTTAATCTTAGTTAAGACACTGCTCTCTGAAAGTTTCAGGTACAATGGTGCCTGGTTGGGAAGAATTTCTTTATGTGGAGTAGCTTTCTGGAAAAATGAATACCTCTCAATAATTTTATCTACTGTATATCACAAACATACTATATGTAAAACGATTTCTTATTGAAAGATCACGATTCTACTCTAACAATGTCAAGAGAAAGAATAATATTCTTTTAAATATGATTTTGAAAATCTTTCAAATAAATTTTAATTCAAAGGTATATCTTGTATCACCATTAATTGTATACTTAATATAATAAAACTTTTCTTTTAAGTCAGTGGACGTTGGCCATACACGAATGTCTACATTATAATTTATATATAAAAGTATAGTTTGAAGCAAATTCCAATACATCAAGCTGTCACCTTTGATTTACCAAAGCTTTTGAATATTGCTTGATTTGTGGAAAGATGTAATATGAGATTCTAAAAGGTAGCTAAACACATACAGAAAGATTCGTTTCATATATGGTGAAGTACAGATGAAGGCAAAAGAGAAATGAAGTTTGGTGTAACATAGCTGATGAACTGACTAAGCTAGCCACCCTGAGTTTTCTTGTGTGATTCTGGTGCCATGGCTTCATAATTACTAAAGAGTTGGATGTGCAAAATAAAACCACTTCAGCAAATCTGCCACCAAGAAACAGAAATAAAATAAAACTTGAATGTCTCTGTAGTGGTGTTGTTGCCTGACATAGCCAGTATGTGTCACCATGGACAGTAGCACTAAAGCTTACAACCGGGAAAAGGAGGAAATTGACATGTGCTGCAGTTATTTAAAACAAGCTTACTCTTATAAAAAATGTAATTTTCTGTTTTAATTATGGTGAGCCCACTAACTATTTCTATTGTGATAAATATTTGTGATGATGTTTTATTTACTGAAACGTCTTTTGGGGGGAGGGGTAGAGGTGCAGCCTAGCTATCGAATCCTTTAAAAAGAATGACTAAATCTAATAAAGGAAATAAAACTAGACTGTCAGCAATATTCACAAAGTGGAAGAGAAGTGTCATTAGGGATAAGCTTCTGGCTTTTTCTTCCTTTTTTCTTCTTTTTAAAACCTCTGATTTTCAGTCCCTGTGAACTGGAAGCGAAGTTATTTCAGGACTGCTAATTTGAGTAACTGAAAAGCTTTACAGAAGCTAACGCTCCTAATAAACAAATGATGTTGAAGTGCCCTTAAAATTTCCAAAGCTCCTTTAAATTATACTAGTGTTCTTAGTTTTCTCAGAAGAGTATCTGAGCTGTCACAACTAGAAACCTTCAGGACTGTGATTTTATGTTCTTATGCTAGACAATTAGACAATTTCTAGGAAATAGTCTCAAGGCACAAATATCTTTTCCTGGTTACTTTTTTTAAAGCAATATTTAGTATTCATCTTTATTTAAATTGCCAGTTCATCAAGGTAGGCATTGTGTTGCAAATGAATTGTCCACTGTAACTACTTATCAATGCATATCAATGAATTGATTTTATTTCCTTGTTGGTACTAAAGCCCTGCACTGAGTAAATGCCTAACAAATCTAGTTTTTGAGAACTGAAGATGTAAAATTTCATTTCCTGCCAAATTATGAGCTTTATTTCATATAGCCAATCAATCAGCAAGTATTTGCTACCTGCTGTGTTCTCAGTAGGCATATGTTACTGATCTATTGATTATGCTCTACTAACTTCTTTTATTCTGAGATTTAGATTATCAATTGACAACAGGTGGATCTTTGGCTCTGCTTGGTAGTTCTGCATTACCTTGGAAATATCTTTTCTCTGCTATTAGAAAATATTGTTAAGAAGCCACTTCTAACTTCTACTGCTTCACGGGGATTCCATGGCTTTTAGAGAGACAAAAGCTTTTAGACTCTGAAGATTTGATGGATTTGATTTATGGTCAATTGAGGGTGTTGCAGATATTTTCGTATAGTGTGTCAAATATCATAGCAGGATGGTAACAAATTACAAAACTTGTGAGATGCTCTCAGATTTCACATGAACCTATCAGATAAGTTACTTTGTGCTATCAAATATGTTCTATATGTTCTATATTTTGAACCATTAAATTTCTCCTGCAGTGATAAAACCATCTTCTTTTGTCTCTTAGCTTTAAAATAAAGAAATCTGAGCATATAATTTCCCAATGATTTTTGCTCATTTAATATTGCTTCTCCTTTTGACTACTTCATTATTCTCTGTGGTGCTATTTAAGATGCTTGTAATTCAGTGCTTTTTGAAACTATAAGTAACTTTTGTAAATTATTGTGCAATATGAATCTATATTAATAATTATATTTTATTATATATGATAATAAAAGCAAGTGGGAATATATTTCCAAGTCATATCTGGTTTTTATCATAATAGCAACTGTATCACTAAAAATTTAGTATCACTAAAATTGTTTTGTTGTTGTTGAAATTTGATTTGTAGCTGAATTGGAAATTGAAGTAAGAAGATGCTAAATTAGATCATCCTTTAATAAATGTGGCTTTTTATGTGTGCCAGTTATAATCACTTTCAAAAGGAAAAAGTATCCAAGCAACAGTTTGGAATCTACATCAAAATCTAAGTATTTCTAGCTTCAGTCTGACTCATAGCCACAAAAATATATTACATTTTTAAAATATAGAGGACTGAATGCTGACAATGAAAAAGACCTCTGAAGGCTTGTAAAGAGTTCTGAAATCTTAAGGACTAGTGTAATTGTAGATAGAATTCTACCTACTTACCTTGTTTAAAGTCTAGGAAATATTTGTAATGATAATGTTCTTTCTTCTCTGTACATGGGAGACCAAGAAAGAGAGCATAAGAAACACAGTTCTAGCACTTTCTAGCAATGTGAGCATGATTTTTAGATCTTTGGTTTTAACACTTTCTTTGGCCAGATTCCCAAAGTTGATAGTTTCATCTGTTGGTTTAATAAAATTT